AACCGACCGCTAGACTGACAAACTGACTAAACGACACATTGACTAACTGAATGACCGACTGACTAGCCAAAATGAGTGAATTAATCAATCAATTGATAATTAAGCTGTCAATACGCAAGCAATCTTTATCCAGTCCGCTAATCAGTCCGATAGTCTCTCTGTTGGTCTCTCAGTTCGCCTATCAGTCAGTCAGAAGGTAGATCAGCGCGCTTGATTTTTTCCTTATTATTTTATTCACAGCTGATTGTCGAGAAGTGCTGTTATCGGGATGTAAGACCAGTGCTAAGTACACGATAAGCCCTTTAAACAACCACGAAGAATTCGAAGTTTTCTGTGACCAGGAAACGCAAGGTGGTGGCTGGACAGTCATTCAACAAAGAATAAACGGGTCGGTGAGCTTCAATAGAACATGGGATGAATACAAAGCAGGTTTTGGAGTAATGGGTGTCCAATTAGAGATGTGGCTGGGTAACGAAAGAATTCATAGCTTGACCACTCAGAAAACTGAAATTTTGATCGAATTGACAGCGTTTGATGGAACAAAAGGTTTTGCCTACTACAGCCATTTTCACGTAGCTGGTGAGGATCTTTGGTATCAGCTATCTGTTGGCGGTTTTTCAGGGAACATTCCTGATAAACTAGTATTGCATGATACTTTTAACTTTTCTGTGACTAAATGCGGAGCCGCCACTTCATCTTCGGGTTGGTGGTTCACTCCTTCTTGTGGCGAGGCTTTGTTAAATTCTGAGTATGGTCACGACACTGGTTCTATGATGTGGAGTGATTTTCCAGTTGCTGGTGCCCATAAAGGCAAAATCAAGAAGAGCACAATGAAAATAAGAAGGACAGAAGGTAAAGTACTTTTCCATTGTGAAATTAACTCTCAACCTCTTCCTGGCTGATTGTTAAATTCCTAATCACTTGAAGGAACTCGACAGAACTCCTCCCTCAACCTATAATTTATGTCATTTTTTTTACCAAATTCTTAGGGTATCCTGATTTTAGCACAAACTAGATATCATCGATATCAGTAACGCATTCTCGTTAGCGTATGCAATAAGTAAGTTTTTATATTTATTAATTTCAAGAAATGTCCGGCCGCAGCTGCCATTATGCATTTGCCTGGAAGTCAATTATTTCTCTCCAGATCATTTTGAAGACTACACTCTGAAGTTCCCAGAAAGGAAGAGAACTTTAAGCATCGTCACCTTTCCAGTCATTTTAACTGAGTTCCAATCGTTTACTTCATGTCTCTGGTTAAAAGTGCGACCTCCAACTGTTCCAAGACAAATGAATCTGCTGCGATATGTAGTACAGGATGGAAACTTTAGTATGGGATTAAAACCCTATGGCAAGGAATATAAGATTATTTTGTCAATTTGGCCAAGGTAAAAAAAAAGTAACAAGTAGAGGTTAGATAATCAAGAAGTACTTGAGGTGGGGAGCATGCTCATTCATCTCCTAGACAAAAAGGGGTTCGAATTAGTTGGGGATCGGGTTTCGATGTAACTGGAGTCCACCTACAGGCAATGTGAGATTAGTTCATATTATGATGCCTACCCTGTACTAGGAGTGTAAATAGATGCCAGCACACTGTTACGGAAACACGTAGAAAGGATTTCAATTACAAAAAGGAGGGCGAAAAGAGTGATTAATTGCTTATCAAAATCATAGTAAGGCGATCGTTATAATTGAAAACCTTCTTAACTGGACATGTGAGGATAGATATATTTCGTTGAAGAAATCATGTTTACGAAACAGTATTAAACGTGTTATTTCGTCAATATAGTGATATAAAATATCGGTACTTTTGCAGCACCCGTGGATTTAATAAACAAGTCAAATATCCTTCTTTGGATGGAAGCTGGCGTCATGTTTGCACATCGTGGACTAACGTAGATGGACGAGGTGCAATTTATATAGACGATACTCAAACGCCCTTCCTTGGCATTGGTAACGGGACAAAGTTCACTGGCGGTGGAAAAGTTGTCATTGGAAGTACTCATGTAGTGGAACCGCCTCTGCTAGGATTGGAGATCACATACATGAATTTGTGGGATAAGGTTCTGTCGACTGTTAGCATCGAAAATCTCGCGCACTCTTGCGGCGCTGAAGCTGGCAACGTTTTACAATGGAGTCTTTTCGCAGCCATGTCGGTGGGAAATGTACAGGTAGTTCCCTCTTCTGCGTGCAGAGCAAAAGGTATCAATGAGGTTTATTAACACGTGCCACTAACGAAGCAAATATTACAGGTGAAATATCCTTTTCTTTTTTCTGCCCTAAATGAGAAAAATACAATGTGTTGAGCTCTTATTTGCTTTAAGCCTACTTTGTTTAACTTTGTATGGCTTAAAAAGCGTTTTTAATTAAGAAAGGAACAACGCAGACGCTTATTATAGTAAGATTTTTTGTTTCAATGCACCTCACCCCTGTGAAGTCTACACTACCCCGTGCCTCCTTCCCCAAAATCCCTGTGAAAGCATTGGACTCCTGGGTCATTTGCAACTGAGGATGGCTTTTGTTCAGATTATCGGATTTCTGTTCAGGACTACCCTACCCAATAAGGTGGACCTTAGAATTCGTGGATATTTCGAAAATATGTTAAAGAAAACCATCAGATGTTTCTCATTAATATTATTTATTCCAACCTTTTCCCTTTTTTCGTCTGTTTTAGAGATGTATTACTGGAACTTTAATCAATCAAATTCTTTGGAAAGCTTTGACGGGAACAAAAATCACCGCGCCGAATTAACTGGAGGGAAAATTTCACCTGGCCAAAAATATCTTGTTATCGAAGATCAAGGAAAGTTCCTGGCGGAGAATTTGAGCTCAGAACTCAGTGGTGAAAATGGATTCACGGTTTCATTTTCAGCCGGGCAGACAGGTAGGTTAAGGTGGTACTGTTTTATGCCATGTCAAGTTGAATGTCACACGTGCATCTTAGAAGGTACATCCAAATTCCTTTACAAATGTAAATGATTCTAATCAGTCAGAACTCCCTTTAATCCTCATGAAATAAGGATCTAATTGCCATTTGAAAACTAGTGACTGATGATAATGACCAAAAAGGGGCAAAAATATTTACAGTAGAAACAATGAATGTTAGGTATGTAAACCCAGGTGAATTTGGTTTAAACAAAGGACCACCGAAAAGATTCCATATGTGAAGTTTCCAGCGTTAGCCCTTCGCCAGAGCGAAAAAATCCGTAAATCCATTAAGGTTGCCCCTTTTTTAGACTTATAACAAAGCCATGTAGAAAAAAAAAAAAAAACAAACCAAACCTAATCCTAAATTGCTTAGGACACACAACGTTGATTTTTTTGTATCAAACTTCTCCTTCGAACTTTAATTTGTCTTTCTTCATTTTCCCAAGAAGCCAGCCCTTGTTATAAGAGACATTTTCTGCTACCTGGAGATGTCTGCTAACTGTAGCTGGAGCAACATCAAGTCTCTTTTCGGAATTCATTTATATGGGTGAAAGGGGGCTTTCTTTAACATCGTAATGTTTTTTCTCTCTGATCTCTTTCAGTCTTAGCCTCAGAGATACTTAGGAATGACTTTAAATCTCTTGAGGTGCTCCACAGAGCATTTCCTGATTTCATTCGTGACCATGCAACGTGGAAACGTTGTTACTTCGCTGACCAGTCATCCTGGAGCACTGCAGAATTTCATACAAAGTGCGATTATAAGGGACCAACATTAACTATCGTACGTGTCCGAGAATATGTGTTTGGAGGCTTTGTTGAGAATAGTTGGGGAGGTAGGCATTCTTTAATTGTTCGACGGTTTCAGTGTAAAGGATATATTGCCGACAGATTCAAAACGATATAACTATTTGTGATGTTAAAATGATAAATATGAACAAACCATGACAAAGTGATATAGCAAAAAAGAGACCGGATGAAAATAGCTTATACTTTATTTGATTGTGTTGTCATCCTGTTCTTAGGAAAACCATCAAACATTGGACATCAGATCGAAGGATTCCTGTTCAGTCTATCAAACCCATTTGACCTGGCCCCTCGAATCCTGCCGATCCAACAGGGCAAGGCGTCCGGAAGAACAAACCCACACCTTGGTCCAAGCTTTGGAGAAAGGGATCTTGAGCTCTTCGAAGATAAGCATGGCCGAATCATGGGATACAGCAGACTGGGGGCTTCTTTTGATCTGATGAGTGTTTCATTGTCTTCCTATGAAGCTTGGTTTTACTTAGCGGGCTCTCAGCATTTTTATCCAGACCAAGTGGAAGTTTTTTATTACCATGGTGAGTTAGGGCTGAAAAGGTATTGTAAGATCAGCTTTGGCATTGAGGAAACTCGAGGAACAATCTGAGACCTCGTCCAAGAGAGTTCCAGTAAAATCAAGTGATTTAAACCTTTGTTGGTTTTTATCTAATAGCCAATAAAATAAAATATAAATTATTTCAACTTTCATACGGGATATCAAGTCGACAATCAAACAAAAACTCAAGGGACTTGATGCGAGTTTGGGTGACTTGAGCCTTTAGAGAAGTCGCAGTAGTATCCACCATTTTTTCTTTAGTTCGACCTAAGCCAGTTCGTTAATAAAATCAAATAATACTCCACAACTATAGCTGAGTGGCTCCTCATGTGCACTGCACAACTATCGCTAAAGGAAGTAAATATTTCGTAAATATTTGCGTAAATATTTTCGTAAATATTTGCGACTCGAGAAAAGCTTGACCAAGTGACTCATGGAGCGACCTAGGGTAAACTAATGCATCATGTATTTTTCTACCTTTAGTTCCATCTACGCCACTAGGTCTAGAGAATCAAATATTACCCGACAACTACCTGAGTAACTCGTCACAACTCAATAGCAGCAGTGGTCCTCATCTTGCTCGCCTAAACGAACAACGTGACTCAAAGGCGTGGTGTTCAGCCGGCCCTAATGAATGGCTGCAGGTGTTCTTAGGTAAACAGTACACTTTGACGCACATGGCACTGCAATCGATTGGTGGAGGCGTGGACGTAACGGAATTGAAAGTTCAATACGAAAAGACTAGGGATGGAATCAAATGGAAATATTATAGCAAGGAGATTGATGGGAAAGAAATGCTGAAGGTTTGCTTGTTGCTTTTGTTGCAGGGGTTTTAACAAAAGCTGGTTACCAGATCGCCGCTTCTAAGAACTGTTACCGTTGTCTGTTGAGCCCACGAGCAGGCTCTCGTGTTTTGGTTTTGCCTGGCTTACGGCTCCTAGTAACGCAATAATTTTGCTCTTGTTGCTGTTTTTTCATATTCTAGTTGTTGTTGTTTTTTTGTTTCTTTTTATAATGTTTCTAGCTATCGTTGTTTTCATTCACGATGGTTTCTCTCTTTCAGCTTTAAGGTAACTATTTGGGTACAAAAAGATCTCAGTAATCTTCAAGCTCTGAAATCTGAATCATATTAAAATAGCTACAACAGAACTTTGAAATTGTTCCAGGATTGATTTAGTTGTGCTTTACCCGGTTCTATGATCGTCCAGAAAACTCCAGGTAGCTACTCAACCAATTAGAATAAAATCTAAAACCGACTAGCTCACTGTATTTACTTTGACTTCTTCTTGGTTCGTTGTGACTTTTTCCTTTGTTTTGATTGGTTGTTCACGCGTTCTTCCAATATCACCTTTGACCAATAGGAGGCCAGTTATCTACATGAGTTCTAACCCAAACCATGGCTTTACGCAATCAGGCGGCCTCAGACTCTCTCGATGAGGGGGTTGATTTTACCAAATTAATTTCCTTCAAATGTTCTGATACTTTAGATTCAGTTAAATTGAGGATTGTTTATGATGCAGTTTTGTTGAACAACGTCTACTGAGCTTTGTTTAAAGAATCAGACCTAGCAGTCTGTAAACAGATTTAAAGATTAATTGATTACTTCTTTAACCATATCACACATGTAATTTATTTTGTTTAAGGTTCTTCGCTTCAATTTTCCATCAGCTGGTTTTGTTAAGAAGGAAGCGTTCATTCCACCTTTTCAAGCCGTCAAGGTCCGATTCCTTCTAACTGAAACACGAGTACAGTGTATAAAGATGGAACTATATTTCTATGATGCAGGTTCGTGTATTAGATATAAATAATGGGAAAAGAAAACATTTAACTTTTTCGCATATATTTACACTTTTATTCAATTTTCATATTGTCAATAACATTACATTGGTTGATTAACAAATAGTCATAGCTAGTTTAAGGTAGATCTGTAGTTAAGACTGACTAACTAACTAAACTAGCTAACCTAGTTGTCTGTACTAAATTTATAAAAGCTGATAGTTTCTAAAGAAACTGTTTGGGGCTGCGTCGGTGGGGGTAACGAAATAATGTGAATACATCAACGAAGTTGAGATGGTAAATTGGCCACCGTTACGATTATAAACGCTGACGTTTCGAGCGTTAGCCCTTCGTCGGAGCGAATAGGGGAATTGTGGGTTGTGTGTGCTTTTAAAGGCAGAAAAAGGAGCTACGTTATTGGTGGGAACATGGCAAAGAGAAGAACACGAATGGTGGAATGGTGGAATGAAAAGCGTTCGTTGATACCTATGGGATTTAGACTGCCTTTTTGAAAGATGAGCTTTTGTTCAAGAGTTTTCCGGCTTTCCGTGCTGCCTAAGTGTAAGGAAAGACCGCAGATTGCCATGTGTTGCTTAGAATGGTTAGGTAAATTAAAATGTCTAGCGACTGTTTTCGATGTGTCCTTGTCATTCCTCTCCACCTCGCGAAGGTGTTCTCGGAATCGGTCACCTCGTCTTTTGCCTGTTTCGCCGATGTAAATCTTTTTGCAAGTTATGCAATAGATTACATTGGCGGAGGTGCACGTGAAGTGAAGTACTAAATTTAATTTAGTGTTGAGAAAAACTTAAATTGTTGTTATCAAGTAATAGGTCGAAAATGAAATTATCGTTAAATAAAAAATATTTTACTTTTGGTGATCACTTAGGGGTAGTATAGACAACTCTTCTCGTCTCGCACTCTCTTTAAGATTGCTTTCAGTCAGCTTAACGTTTAAGTCAATTCTTCTTGTCTCGGCTACTCTTTAAGGTTGTTCTCAGCCTCATGGAATTGAAAATCGGACGGTGGTTCCAGATGAGAAACTAACAGCATCCTCAACCGAAGTTTCTGATGAATACAAGCAAGGATACTTTTGGCCAAACATAGGTCGGCTAAACCATGACAAGGAAGGCGCACATTCTTGGGGACCTTATAAGCATCCAGTCCATTTGTTCAAGGGAATCTGGTTTCAGGTAATTATTATTGATATGTGTTCCTAAACAAATGCAGACCAACTTCTCAAGTCGGCAGCAGGCTGAATTGTTGTGAAAGGGGGGGATTGGGGGAGAAGGAAAGGGAAGAGGGGGGTTGGAGGAGGAAGTTTAATTTCGTGAAATAATACTAAGAAGAATTTTACTCCGATGCGCTTTCCTCTCTCACAGGTCGTTTATAAGGAGGTAAAATAAAATTCCTTTATAATCCTAAAAGCTTCATGAGTTGGAAGTTTAAGAGTGCTGTGGTTTTTTCCGGATTGTATACATTTGAGCTGATTGTAATGAGTCTTATTTCTAAGGTCGATTTAAAGGAAGAAACAGAAGTAACGTGTATTGCAACCCAAGGAAGGCCAACTAACATTCAATGGCCGACGAAATATCAACTTGCTTACAGTTCTGAAGGAAATGACTGGAAGTATTTTGAAGACATCAATGGAGTCAAGGTAACATTTCCCTTTTTAAGAACAACTTAAGTACAATCCGCGCATACTAACTGTTTAATAAAGTGCATTTATAGCCTGAAATATTTCTTCTATGCCTCTATTGTTCGTGTTAACTTAGAAATTTGATGCAAATTCAGATCAACACATGGCAGTTACAAACTGGTTAGTTCCATCCATATATGGAAGGTTTTTCCGAGTCTATATCACTCGGTGCAATATTGCCTGCAGATTGCGGATGGAATTGTATGGAAGAAGAGATCCAACAAATAGTAAGTCGTTCCTTGCAAGTTTCAAGCTTTCTATGTACATTCTTTGAGAGATATAGCACAAACAAAGGAACAAGAAAAGAATATCTTTGACAATGTATAATTATCAAGGTAGCCTTTTTGCTTTCGATTTCATTGGCCACTGTCATGTGGACGTATACTGGCGTGGGTTATGTTTGTTCATTTAGTTTAAGTTGAACTATTCGAGCACTGATGCTTTTCATGAACCATTTCCGATTCAGATGAACAAAGTTTACATAATGATGTATACTATCCAAAACTTATCGTTTCAATTCCACCAATCACATTACGAATTCATATAATATCATCAAATCAGAGCGTGCGTGCAGCTTGAGTCATCCTGTAAAAATCCGGTTCTTTTTTAAGTAAATCTGAAAAAGCGACTGTGGTGGAGACTTCCAGCCTCTAAAGCAAACATGTTGCTGGACAGAGTTCTCCGCTTTGAGGACCCTTCACGTTCTTTGAAAGAATTATATCTATCACAAAAATGCTGGGAGATTGGATGACAGAAATGATTATTGAATTATGTAACTGACTTTCACTGGCATGGTAATTCTGTTAATTGCTACCTATGGGTTATCGTATGTTTTTTTTGCTCCAATTTCCTTTTTGAAGATATCTACTGGTCTAAGAATGGTCTTAGTTTCACCGTTCGACGTGGTCGATACCACATTTTCTTTGCCAAAGAAAACCATCGGTGGGAAATTCGCCATCCATTGATCGTGAACCAATGGTTTGAGGCCACCATTGCCTGGAAACTCCAAGACGGTCTAAAATTTTATGTCAACGGCAATTTGGTAGCATCAGATAAGATTCCAGTGCGACGGAACTTCTTCCCTGCTAAGGAACCGTTCAAGCTTCTAATTGCTTCAATGGAGAATGGAGGCGGGTGGAGCAGAGCGATTTCCATCGATGATGTCGCGGTTTGGGGAAAAGCGATGAGCAAAGAGGAGATTAATCGCAAGTCTGAAGGTTCATATCCGAAAGTTTACATTGAATCTTTTTCTTTCTTGTCAAAACTCTTATCTGTCCAATTTTAGGAAGACTAATTCAGGACAAATGCGCTCGTGTAGGTATTTTTTCAAAGAAAACTTAAAGTTTTCCTTCAGATTGATATTCCATCAGGTGGAAGGTCTCACGCATCCTTGAAAGAGCGCTTTTTCGATCTAGTTTCTTAAAAAAAATCAAAACATTACAGTGACTAGTCAAATCGAAGGACTAAAGTAAAAACATGCACACTGCCTTGAGCCAGGGAATGGAAATGAAAAAGTCATGATCAGTTTTAGTTTTATGTTCAAAAAAATTAAAATAAAAAACAACTAAAAATGTTGAATTAAATAGCTGCTTTCTTGCTGTTCAAATTTAGTCTTGATACCATAAATCTATTGTTCTCAGTTCATTTCGACTTTGACGATAACTCCAGAGATTGGGAATCCCTAGTAGATGGTACCAATGGCTGGACACTACTTCAAGGATGTACGAAAACGTCGGGTACCGGACCATGCGACGATGTTTCCAGAGGAGGTATCATATCATTTCTTCTTGCATTACCATTTTCTTCCTTGTTTGTTGTTGCTGTTGTTTTCGTTGTTGTTTCAGACAATTTCCTACTTTACCTGCTTGCGTTTTTTCACTCCTCCGTAATTATTGCACCATTTACGATTGCGCTTCGTCTTATAGACCGAACGCTTGGAATAGACTATCATATCATTTCTTCTTGCATTACCATTTTCTTCCTTGTTTGTTGTCGCTGTTGTTTTCGTTGTTGTTTCAGACAATTTCCTACTTTACCTGCTTCCGTTTTTTTACTCCTCCGTAACTATTGCACCATTAACGATTGCGCTTCGTCTTATAGACCGAACGCTTGGAATGGGCTATATTTTACTTTTAGATTTTCTGTAAAGCCTCAAGACTGATACAAACATACATCCTGACCCTGGGTTTATTTCATTCTGTTTTAAACAATCAGGACCAGGATGACTTACTTGACTTAAGCCCTTCGGTCCCCTGAGGAACATAGGACCAGGATAGCTAGGGAGAAACATCTTCACATGCACAGTACAAGGGACACAAAATAATACAATGCAGAGGCGGATCCAGGAAATCTTGATTGGGGGGGGGGTCCAAACTTTGGTTCAGAAAGGACTGTTGGACTCTTTGAGGCAAATTACTTCTCCCCCACATCCCCTCCCACCAGTCGTGGTTGCACGTTATAATTCCTTGGCCGCTTACCGTTTATTTGGATTCATTAAAAAAAATAAGCCAGTTAAAAGTGATATACGATCCTGTCTCAAATTTGTAAGCGTCAGGTTTGATAGGGGGGGGTTCCGGACCCCCCGGACCCTCCCCCTGGGTCCGCCACTGCAATGTATACTGAATTCAAAATGAAACAGAAAACAATAACAGTTACTCGCTTGGTACGGATTATCTCTTCCTGAGGATCCATCGATATACAATGTAATCGACTTCGATCAGTTTGTTTTAACATGTTTCTTTGTTCATTTATCGTCTACAGGACGCTATATCTACTTTGATGCCGCGCAATCTAAAGAAAAAGCCAGGTTCTCCACTCCCTCCAGTATTCACTCTTACAATTGTCTGAAATTTCACTATCATATGGCTGGTACGCACACGGGAAGGCTAAATGTTTATGCGACAGATATCAGGGGTAAGGAACAACTACTTTGGCGGCTCTTTGGAGAACAGAAAAATACATGGAGAAAGGCCAGTATTCCAGTCAACGATATTCACCCACAATATCAGGTACATTTTAATGATTTTTACAACGCGGAAGTGTTAATCACTATCCAATTAGGCCTGAGCTCCATATTTGGCCATAATTTTTACCTCTTTAGAAAGCAGTTAAGATTTACCTCTTTAGAAAACAGTTAAGATACTACGTGCACTCTCGCACTGGTCGAAAGTGGTGTTTAGAGGAGGGTAAGTACATACAATTGATACGTTTTAGAGAAATCTCTCGTGAAAATGACTGACAGGGCTTTTCCGGTGTACTATTTGATTTGACGAAGGGCTAAAACGCTCGAAACGTCAGCTTTAGATACTTTTTCAGGTGGCCAAATTATCTTTCCCAATGTAGCCTTACTTGAAACACGGGGGGGAGGGGTAATTAGGGAGAATACGAGAAAGTTCTGCAGACCCACGACCACCCCTTAGGTCGGAAAATTTGTCTCGAATTCTCACAAGTTTCCTTGAGTATAACGTGACTAACTGAATATGAATATTTCAACAAGTAGGTATATTTCGTCTTTAGGTGGTTTTTGAAGCAGTTCGTGGTCCAGGTTACCTAGGAGATATAGCCTTAGATCAGATAGCGTTTACTAGAGAATCGTGTGTCTTCTCGCCTTCCTCAGCTATGCCCCATAATTCTCATCGCTCAGGAGTGGGTGAGTCATCTGTTGCTCTATTTTCACTGCAATGCTGTCGTTATTCTCTTATTTAGTCAGATTCTGTTTAGGGAAAGAACCTACTAAAAGCTGACTTTCTCTCGACATATGGTCTATAGCTCAGGTGATAGTGGCACCCGATTAGCATCCTTTAGGCTCAGGCGGGTTCGAGTCCCATCGCAGCCTGAATTTCTGCTCATTTGTAAGAATATTCTTGGCTCCCTCCTTTGTTCTGTTCCATGGGAAATTCAGGATATTTTGTCATGAGAGAATCAGCCATCCTGACTAAAGCTCCTTCCCCAAAGCGAAACTGCTGAAGCCCTAAAATAATATCTGCACAGGAGCCCATGGTAGCTTATATAAAATTCTAACTATAGGCCTGTCGTGAAAATAAAATTCTGGCCAGTGAAAGCTATTGCGTTTTATTCACACCTTGATTGTTTCCTGTATTCATTTTTCGTAGTTATCACCTCTTCTATAGTTTCGATGGACTCTATTTACCATAATTATCTTGGTTTAATGATGGAAGAAGAAGTTTATAGCTCTTCCCGTTGGATTTCGTGTTATCGCGCCCTCGATAATGGCTGGAACGTTTCTACCTTTCACAACCTCTGTGACGATAAAGGTCCTACCCTGACCATAATCAGGAAAGAAAATAATGTATTTGGGGGATTTACTGAACGAAACTGGAGTGAAGGTTCTTTGTAACAATTATTTTTTTCTATTGGCTCTATTTTCAAATAGCAGTTCTTGGAACATTTCTTTGAACCATTAAAAATTAAAACAGAGAAAAGCGCCAAACGAAGCTACTGCAGCTAAAAACGCCGTATGAGCCCACTGGCCTTAATACCACAGGCTGACTGCAGACCATGAGTTGATTAGCCTGTGCCCTAACTGCCAGAACTACTCTCATTAGTTTTGCATTTCTAGGAGGGGGTTATGTGCATTGTTATTCTTCCTGAATGGGATGATTGTCCCAGGTAGCCCCCAGCATTTCTTCACCCCTGATTAAGAGAGGCATTAACGAAATAAATTGTCTTACCTAAGAACACATTTGAATGACCGGCCAGGGCGTGAGCATGCACTTTTGTGATCCAGACTTAGCCACCATTTCACCGTTTTGGATGGGTGTGATGCTGTTACTTCTATTGAGACGAGAAACTTTCGCTTTGCAAACGTTTCTACTCTGTTATTGTGGTGTCATCGCAACTAAACGTGTATAATTTATGTCTTTTCAGGCCAGGTGGGTGACAACTCCAGTTACGATCTCCAGTTTTGGCGCAAAAACTCCGCGGACATTGTCAAATCTGTTTTACCAACACTGACTCCAAACTCAAGTTTTACAGCCTCCTTGTGGCTTAAAACCTCAGTTAAGTCAACTCTAATAGTATTCTCCATTGGTCAAATAGACAGCTTCTTGCAATTACGACTGGAACCCGCTGGCTGGTTGTCTCTCTGTTCAAAGGATAAATGCAAGTAAGTCAAAATAACCTGATTATTCCGTTCAAAACTTCACAAAGACGAGTAGCGCGTTACCTAACAATATCAAAAGACGGCTATTAAAGGAAACTGGCCTTATTGTTTTTTATTTGGTTTGTTCCTTTGTTTGTTTGTTTGTTTTTTTTTATGACGGGACAAACGGGAAAGTCCGAAATGGAGCAACCACAGGGTCATAACTTGTGTCGTAGCCCTTGAGCTTGAGCCATCACTCTAACAGCGACTTTCTACACCCGAGAGTATAAATAGGTACCAGTTCCCATTTCTAGGGAAACCTAGCTAAATGTTTAGTTTGACTAATTATGGTCCAATATCCCCTCCAAAGAGAGAGGAAATATTTCTGGCTTCTTTATATTCTTTAGCAAACCGGGATAAAACACGACAATTATTTAAGTTGCTCGTTTACGTCGATAAAAGCTTTTTTTCTTTTCTCCCATTAAAGACGTCGTCAGAATGCATCAAGTATATCCCACAGTTTCTACGTTACGCAAGCGTGCTAAACCGTTTTTTTTTCACACGAGGATTATGTTTCATTTGCATCTATCTCATTTTTTTCTGCAGCACTAACAATGGCAGTATCTCTCAGGTGATCAACGATGGTTGTTGGCATCATGTCACGGTTGTGTGGCACAGCAGTTCAAAATCGTGGACTGTATTCTCAGACGGCGTGAACCGAGGAAAACAAACCGAAGAAAAGTGGCAGAAATCCACCTTTTCCCTTTCGGGTACTCTTTTTATCGGGAAGGAGCAGATCCAAGGTTCATCTAGATTTTTTTCTGGCAGAATTACTCAGTTTAACATGTGGAACCATGAGTTGGAGGAAAAAGATATTACAGTGTTAGCGCGCAATTGTGTAAGTGGACAGGGTAATATGTTCCATTGGAGCAACCTTAGAAGTAAAGTCGAGGGAGAGCTGAGGATTGTGGAGCCGTCTTCTTGTACGTATCACAATCCTATTAGCACTTTGTGTTTCAATCTATGATCTTGTTTCACCTTTCTTAACTATCTTCTTATTAACAGCTTTATTACCCATTACAACTTAAGGATGATCTCCTTTTACCTTCATAGAAATCACATTAAATATTTTCCCTTGAGAAGCCTCTACCCCTCGACAATTCGACCTGATCAGCCACTATTCTTAATTATTTTACTGTAATTATTGGTTACTATTGGTAGTAATCTCTGTGTTCTTTACTATTTTTTTACCCTTAACATGGCACCCATTTGGGTGGACCATCCCTGTAGAGTCTGTTGGAATAAGTTCCCTGAGGTTGATGAAAGAGTATCTTTTTTAAGTAAATTAAATAGCAAAACTCATCTGTTCTATTTGACAAAAAATATTCCATTTATAAGAAAAATTGTACTTCCCCAAAAATAAAAAACTCTGAGACCAAACAGCAGGAAAAGAAAGATGAAAATAGCGTAACGGTAAAAGGCTACTCCCCATAAATCCATGTGCAGTGGTGTTCACGCCATTTTTAGGCCAACTTAAGTCGGACATGCACAGCTGTAGGTCAATTCACATACCAATCTCCGTGCACAGGTTTATCCACCAATTACAGAGCGGACACCAAAGCGTTCATCTTCTCATTAAATTACACATCTGATGGGACCCTCTTCAAAAAAGAAATAAGCAAAGAATCATCAGCCTTGGCGACCTACAGCTCACCGTACACTGGTCCGACGTTCGGGGAGTCTCCGTTTGATTTTCAAATAGGAATCGATGGCGACCTGAAGCGAGGGACGAGTCAACACTCCGTTTCTTATAAAGAAGAGGAAGACTCTAGTAAATCCAACCTGGAAACTGTGCTTGCCGGAGCGTCGAGCTTTAACGTTAACGATGTGGAGGTGCTATATAGAGCTCAGGGAGGTATGTTTTCTGATGGACCTTTATTTCGTATTTCAAACTTCTAATGAGTGATCATGACATAATTACATAGGGAATGCAAGAGTCCTTCGCCGAAGTCGACATTGAATCTGGGAGCAAACCGGATTTAACGATTTTGTCATTGTGCTTAGTAATGCCTGTAATGCCTCAATTTACAATTTTTTGGCCCGGTTTTTCTCTATGGGTGCCAGCTAACAACAAGTTTTCCGGGGCTACTCACACTTCAAATTGACCTTCGAAAAGTCATTGCACGCTTTGTCGTCCTGTAAAAGGGAATTTCTTTCTTTTTGTGTGACACGTAATAAGCGCCCTGCGTACTTCTTGCATACGCCGACCGACAGCGTCGTGTATGTAAAAAGAATAGATAATTTTAAGCTATTAATTTATTCGTCAAGATAAAAGAAATGTTGCCCCTTTCGTCGAGAACGTGAGATGATTTTATGATCACGAGGTACCTTTGTTTAATTGGTTATCTAGTAATTTTAATTTAATTTACGCAATTTTTCATAATTTCTTTACAGCTTCCCTGTGCTCTAACCGTTGTCCATTTTACCATTATTGTGACGAGATAACAGGCATTTGCAGATGCAGAAACAAGAATCCTGCATTGTGTCAACTCGGTAAGTACAAATAATATGAGGAAAATGAGTCGATTAAGTTATATCCTCCTTCGGTCGGCCTTAGTTTGCCTTCGAGGTTCGCGGGTGAAGCGCCGCGCTGCGTCTGACTATGATAATTGTGACGTTGAAATCGCAGCTGCCGATGGAGCCATTGACATTGTTTAATGATTTTTAGCAGCCTTGTATATCAGATTTGACTCCGTTATTTATAGTTTTCCCGAGACTTTGACATTAAAAAAAAAAGAGTAGATGTGAGCCGAAAGTGAGTTATTTTGGATCGTTTTTTACGCTGTTGATATTTTGTATTGTAGAGGATTTTATGGAGATTATTGCTAAATAAAGATTATTATTATCAAGTTCTATCTGATGTATTCACAATTTTATTTTCGAGTATTGCTTTGTTTTCCTTTTTTTTTTCTTTTTTTTTTTTTTCTTTTTAAGCATGTTGCAGAGGCGAGAAAAGTTGCTTACAAGCATGTAAAATAATTGCAATCGGTAAAGACGAGAGTGATAATTGCGGTTATGACTAACACTACTCAAGAATAGGTGAAAATAAAGCCCGAAAAAATTAAGTCTTGTACGGGAGTTGAACCAATGAACTCTGCGATACCAGTACATTACCACTGTTGTTATCCGGGTACTTTTTATTATGCAATGTGCCTCTCGTTGTAAAAAGGCTTATGGTTCATTTACACATTTATGGAATCCTGGTCACGGCAGTTGAGCTGTAGTAGTTTTTGTCTTTTTTTTTTTTGGCTTTAATTTGTCATGTTACTTTTTTTTGTTCTGTCTTCGGTGTTTTCTATCTTCTATCCCAATGCTGCTTTTAATTTTCTTTTTAAAAAAGACAACAAACCAGACACTATACCCTACATCTATAAACAACTTTTGAGGGAATATTTCGAAGGTTTAATATCATGTGGGGTGTTAATAAAATAAAAAGAACAAGAAGTGCCGTGACCAGGATTCGAACCTGGGTTATTGCGGCCACAACGCAATGTACTAACCACTATACGATCACGGCTGCCACTGCTTCTCACGGGTGATTTCAGGAAGAAAATTATTATAACATCAAATCCTGGTCACGGCACTTGAGCTGTAGTTTTTCTTTTCTTTTTCTCTTTTTTGCTTCAATTTGTCATGTTCCTTTTTTTTTGTTCTGTCTTCGGGGTTTTCTATCCCG